TACAGTATTATAATAATAATAATGTTATAAGTATTCAAATATTTGAATACAGATGTTATAATAATAATAATAATAATGTTATAAATATTATATATATATATATAATAATTAAATATTTCTTTTACATACATATTTTAATATAAATATAATAAATTAAAATATATATATTTAATTAATAATAATTATAAATTATAAAATTATAAATATTTATATATATATATATATATATAAAATACATAGTAAAATTAATTTATTATAAATATAATTATCTTTTTAAAAATAATATAAATTGGGGACGGGACGAGGCGGGGCGGAGGACCCGAAACCCAGTGGGGACAGAGACTTAATTTCTAACTCCGGTGGGGATCGGAGGCGAGGACGGGAATGATTAAAAAGTCGGGGCGGGGATCGGGGAGGCAAAACCCGCCCCTGCCCTACCCCATTGCCATGCTTACATATATACTTAGTAAATTCAGTCATTATATAAGAAGTAAATCAATCATTTATAGAGTAAAGGAACACAAATCTCATACTAAGTTGCTATTGCATTTTGTTTATGAGTTTTGGAATGTTTCTTAAAACATCTGGACACAAAATTATTGAAATATTAAAGCAATATGATGAAAATAAATGAACAAAAAAAACTATGTTCAAATAAATAATTATATTTAAATTGAAGTATAAATCCTCAAAATATTCAATCCACACAATCAAATAACAAATCACAGCTAAAAACATACATTCGTGTGAGTTATTTTCTATCACTAGTATCATCATTCTCTATAATTTTGGAGGGTCATTTTTATTCCATTTTATGTTTTTGAGGAATAAATCAAGAGTACAGAGCAAACCACATAGCTTGTCATAACTCTTATCCAAAATTAAAACTATGTTAAAACTAGAGTGAGTAAAAATCCAATTTCAATGTCAAACATGTTTTAGTGATTTTAGAACAAAATGTCCGTTAGGGTCAGAAATTTATGCAAAGGATAATTATCATTTCTTAATAGGTTTTTCTATATTGAACCAATTTGTACGAGTAGAATAATTAAGTAATATTCCCCAATGACGGGAATACTAGTAAAACATAAACTAGGCATCATTAGAATTTCATTTCATTTGGTGGAGGCATTAGTCAAGAAGCGTCCATAGTACAATGGTAATTTTCACCGGAGAATAAGAACCCCACGAGATGTATAAAATAAATTTAAAGTTGAGTATCTCACTACTACAAAATATACTTTCTACATCGGTTCCCATATAAACCGACGTTGAAAGTCTTTTTTTATTTTTTTTTCACCCAAAAACTCACTTCATTGAAAATTGTCATTGACAGGATTCGAACCCAAGTACTTTAGAGTTGAAAGTCGATACTCCAACCACTAAGTTACTAGAATTTTCTTATAATAACTTACAAATAAATTATATTTATATACAAATAAATATATATCCATGTAAATATATATTTATTTGTATACATTTTCTGGAAAGTATTTTTATTTTTATTTTCAACCAAAAATTCTCTTAAGTTAATGAATTGTCATCGATAGCATTTGAACCCGAGTATTTTAGGGTTGAAAGTTAATATCCCAACCACTAAACTACTATAATTTTTTGATAATAACTTACAAATAAATTATATTGGTATTTTTCGATCGAGGATGAAAGTGTGATTGACTCTTGCTTGAGTGAAAATATGTTAAAGCTCACGGAAATTCACTTACTCAAGTCTCACTTGAGCGAAAATTGGTATTTTTCGCTTGAGAGCAAATAACGCGTTTTCCAAATTTATTTTATATCATTATATAAATAAAATTATAAAGATTATATTCTGTCATTAAATTACAAACTCATATAAAATACCTGCTCACAAATTTAGCATCAAATTTTGAAAACCCACTCGACACACACTTTCACTTTCGAGTGTGCCCTCACATCTAACATATAAATATATAACTATATCAAAATATATAAATATATTTGTATTTATATATTTATATATTTACACGAATATATATTTATTTGTATATAAATATAATTTATTTGTAAGTTATTATCAAAAAATTCTAGTAGTTTAGTGGTTGGAGTATCAACCTTCAACTCTAAAGTACTCGGGTTCGAATCCTGCCAATGACAATTCTCTTAAAAAATTAATAAACTTCTAAAAAATATAATATAAAGAGAGAGAAGACTTCTAAATAAATAAAAGGGGTAAAGGGGTTGTAAATAAATAAAAATTATTAATTTAAAAAATCATACTTTTAACGTCGCCTGATACAACGTCAGTTCAACAACCGACGTTGAAAGCCTTCCGAACCGACGTTGAAAGCTTTATTTGTAGTAGTGTCTTAAGCTATAGATAACAAATAATGTTATTGCTATTATAAGTGGAGAAAATCGCAACACAATTTTTTTTTTTAAATCCATTTATACCAAGAAAAAGAAATTCATACAAGTAAATTATTACACAAATTGTAAGGATTAAAAGAGCATAACATAGTAAAAATGGAACATACCCAACAAAATCGAGAGGTTAAGTAGGACACAAATCTATAAGAAAAAATGTTACATGTGTACATAAGAAAAAAGAAGAGACACCAGGAACTTAGGGCATCAATGCTTTATTTTAATTTTATAATAAAATATTTTATTATATTTGTAAATCACATCGGTCTGTATGTAAGGATTCATTTAATTACCTATGGCTACAACCATCTATTTCTACAAATTATATTCTTAAAAAATTATTTCCATTTCATGAGGGTAAGATTTCTTACTAATAAAATCTATACATAAGTAGTTCATTCTTACTTATTAATAAATTCATAAAAAAATAAGGACTTACATGTTAATACTAATATATACATAAGTATATATGAGTATATAGTAATTTACTTACATATTTAAATTAGTACCTAAATTTCTACTCATAAATAAATTATTTTTGTATAATGCACTAGTACAAAATAGGCTTTTAACATCGGTTCCCAGGGGCTTTTAACATCGGTTCTAGAACCGATGTAGAAAGTCCAATATTTTTATTTATTTTATTTATTCATAATACCCCTCTCTAATTACCCTATCTCCCATTCTCTCCCTTTTATATTATATATTATATTTTTATTATCTATTATATTATTTATTATATTATTTATATTTTTTAGGAATTTGAATTATTATCGGATTAAGAGAATTGTCACTACCCTATCTCCCATTCTCACCCTTTTATATTATATTTTTATTATCTATTATATTATTTATTATATTATTTATATTTTTTAGGAATTTGAATTATTATCGGATTAAGAGAATTGTCATCGGCAAGATTCGAACCCAATACCTTAGAATCGGAGGCCGATACTCCAACCACTAAGCTACTAGGATTTTTCGATAATAACTTATACATAAATAATATTTATATACAAATAAAAATGTATACCCATGTAAATATATAAATATAAAATATATAAATACAAATACAAATATATTTATATATTTATATGTTGGATGTGAGGACGCGCTCGAGGATGAAAGTGTGTGTCGAGTGAATTTTCAAAATTTGATGTCAAATTTGTGAGCGGGTCTCTTTATATGGATTATAACTTAATGACAAAATATAATCTTTATAATTCATTTATATAATGATATAAAATAAATTTTTTTCTTTATTTTATATCATTATATAAATTAATTATAAAGATTATATTCTATATTATTATAAATAAATTATAAATATTATATTTATCATTAAATTACAAATTCATATAAAGAGACTTGCTCACAAATTTGACATCAAATTTTGAAAACTCACTTGACACACACTTTCACTCTCGAAGCGCTCTCACATCCAACATATAAATATATAAATATATTTGTATTTGTATTTATATATTTTATATTTATATATTTACATGGATATACATTTTTATTTGTATATAAATATAATTTATTTATAAGTTATTATCGAGAAAATCCTAGTAATTTAGTGGTTAGAGTATTAGTCTTTAATTCTAAGGTACTTGATTCGAATCATGTCGATAACAATTCTCTTAATTTTATAAAAAAGACTTTCTACATCGGTTCATCTGAGAACCGATGTTAAAAGTGATTTTTGTACTGGTGATGGGGTGATTTATGTACTAGTGATGGGGGTAGATATGTAATGATGGAATGGATGTGCTAAAACTAATACTAATAATTATGCAACAAATGTATAACTAAAAAATTATTTAACTAAAATTAATTTTAGCATGATTAACTTTGAAGATTATTTTAGTTTCAAAAAAATTGCTGGACAGTCCATATAAATTAGGAAATAAATTATAGAATCACAAAATCATACGAAAACTAATCTTCAGAAATAGTCTAAAATGTAATTTAAATATTTTTGAATACTATCGTCATAAAGTTAGGGTGTTATTGTTTTTCTTGCAACGTTGTACAATGAAATAGGGAACTAATATTACATGAAAGAATGTTATTGTGTTAGTGGCATTTATTAGACTGAATATACAAAATAAGAAGTCATTTTGATTTTTAATTCTAAGATGAACATTCTAAATTGCCGGAGAGTGTGAAAGTGACTTTTCTGTCTTCCAAGTCCCCACTGCCGTTTATGCCACGCGTTTTCCTTGATGAACCTAACCCAAAAGCTAGATACTTTTTTCTTTTCTTTTTTTCTCAAAAATCAGATTATGAATCCCTTTGATTCATGGATTAAAACCTCGTCGGAAAAACGCAATATTTTCATGTTTGTTTATAATTTCTTTTTAAATATTTTTAGATATTATTCAGAAAAGTAATTACAATTTACAACATGATTTGCTTCATGTTGATTCCTGCAATGAATCATGGGAGAGTTGTATTCTCATATTGCAAAAAATTTATTTATTCTTAACCCACTTTCCCTTCTATTAAATCTCTTTTAAAATTTAAAAATATTCTTAGGAATCTTAAAAATAAAACCAATTACCATTTTAAGTACTATTCAATAAATATTCCTAAATCCTAATCATAACATTCTCATGAATGTAATTCCAGAAAACAACATCATGCATTGGAACAAATGCGTCCGAGCTAAAATACGTGGTTTGTTGTATCATAGTAAGAAGGCTCATATCATACCTGAGACATAACAGAATCATAATAAGCAAAGAGAATGAATAAGATACTGCTTGATTCCTAATACCTGCGTTTCTTCCCCAACAAATCTTTTCCAAATTGTTGAAACAAGTCTGAATATATCAGTTAACATTGCTGGTAAACGAGAAAAAAAAAAAAAAAAAAACAAAGGCAGATGTGTATAATCCACTGAAGATTGTTCATGATAAATAAATAATCCAAAATCTGTTGTCTATCAAAAAGGTTGTGAATCGTGAGCCATGAAGTAACAGAAAACATAAAAATGTATAAAATTCCGGGATCATGATGCTGCTAAAAAATTGTGTTACCTCCAAGTAAACAAGGCCTACAAAAAGAATGATGACCCTCATGCCATCTTTGTTACTTGACATAGAGGCAACTAACTACAGGTAAGCTCATAAATATCTGGGATTTGATCATTGATTTGCCATATTATGAATGAGGAGCAATTTCACTGTAACCTCAAAAACTTGTCTCCTTTCAAGTAGGTGCTGGAATACTAATGTATCTGGTTATAAACATAACCTTCATCTATCCAACTCTTCCATCACGAACCACAAAAGTTCTCAACAGGATCTATGTACACTGATCCTCACCAGATTTAGCCTTCAAAGTTAGCTCGGCAACAAGGCGATGAAGCCTTTGAGACGCTGGACCTGGTTTGAGTTTATAAATGTTCCCAATCTCAGAACATTTGGGTTTACCAGTGCACCAACCGCCAAGCGGGAATAGTCCATTTCTCCTATGAAGAATTTTTTTATCAATCATATCTAAGGATGGATCATCTTGACTAAATTTTCTAGCAAAGGCAGCACCACTTTCAATCATTTTGTCTGTGTCATTCATGTTAAGGATATGAGGGTGCTGTTTAGGAGGGTTGTCCCAGGAAATATAATGCAAGTCAGTATTGACAAGGGTTTTAGCCAACTCTGGCACATTGCATGCAACAGTCTGAAAGTAGCCTTCAGGGGACGACAGAAAATTGGTGTAGTACATGAGAAGAGTTCTTGGCAGATTGTCCCATCCCCATATAATATATTCAACAAAGTCATGGGACAAAACCATCCATGCTGAACCTGCAATGAGGGTACAAGAATTCAACAGAAAACCTTCAGATTAAATAGAGTACATACCAATAAAGAATTATCATGTATGATAGTTTATTGACTTTTACAGTGACTATCTTAAAAATCACCCCTAGCATGATTTAACATTGGTTAACAGTGTAAAGATATTTTGTACTATATGCATAGATTTTAAAGTCAAGTAAATAATAATGGAAGTGGGAAATAGATGGTAAGCCATAAACCAGTAATTAGGCAATTTATGCGTACTAGAAGGGGAATTATTTGATTTCAGGTTAAAGATTGATCAACTTCACTCCCCAGCCACAAAGGGGAGTCCAAAAGCCCAAAAGGAGAATCCTTCATGAAACAAGCACATTTCATTGTTTGTAAGAACATAAGTTTTTGAAAATACACATGGATACATTTCAATTCCGCACTAAGAAGCTACGTCCTTAGAGAAAATTAAATGAACCAGATAACTTATTAAGATATCAGAACCAAGGATATACTATCTTATAAAAAGTAGTAGTCTCCAAATATGCATGAGAAGCTCTAGAAAAGTGACCAATGACAAAGAAATAGACGTAAAAAAGGAGAAAACTAACCAGTGAATAGTTTAAATGCTGTTGGCAGAGGTCTCTGAGGTTCGACCCAAAAAACATCAGATTTGGTTGACATGTAAAGCCCAGGGTCCACAATTAAAGGCATTGCTCGTTTATCACTGCATATGGTTCAATTCATCATTATGTGTAAATCCAGGTTTCATATGTCATGGGGGGATGGAACATTTCATTATGTGAATAAAGAGAAGAAAAAAAAAAAAAAAAACTTACAATTTCCATCCTAACCGACTTGTATGCTCAATGAAGTTGAGGCCTCTATCTAAATCTTTAAAAGTATGTAGTAGATCTGCACAATTGTAAACCAACATTAGTCTTACAATCATTGAGCAGAAAAAGTTGTAATCCTAAAATGTTTGAGTCAGAAGAAATTCTAACAGAAACAATCACATAGGATAATAAACTAACCGTCCTGAGTCACAAGAGGGTAGTCTGAAGCACTGAGATTAATGAACCAATCCCAATCTTTACTTCTCTTGAGCAGAATGGCACAAGCATGAAGAGTATTAGAAACCATGGTTGGTCCTCGGTAAGTGACCATGTTGGCCTTTGTGATAACATAAACGTTTCCAACCTCAGCGAAGACATGTTGTCTTTCAATTCTGTGTGCAATCTCCATCCTTTCCTCTACCGGTGATTCAAGGTCCATATGAACAACATAATGGTTTAGTGGATGATAAAGAGCATGGAGAGTTCTCCAAAGCTTTTCCAAATCACCTTTGGAACCGGAAATCAAATAAGCAAAACGAGGAATCGCAGGCCTAGCCGGGGCTGGAGCAGGAGAAGATCTCTTCTCAACAAAAAGCGGGGAAGTTTGGTTCGAGCGTAAGTGAGATGGGAGAAAGAAGAACAGTGAATTGATGGAGTGAATTGAAGAGACAAGACCCATGTTGAAGGATGAAACTAGCAAGAGCATGCATATGGCAGAACAAACTAGGAAAGGATATACCCATTTCTTCTCTATGTTTAAGAACCCCATAACTGAGAACTATCATGGATAATACTTCACATACTAGATTCCATTCATAACTCGAACACAAATTTGCCAATTCACCATCAAACAGCCACTACAACACACAAATTAGCACCCACCCTCTTCAAATATCTTCTCAACAATCTCTGCCTTGGAATAGTGTCTGTTGCATCAAAATCAAATATTAAATTCAAGAAATTGAATAGTTCTCTATTTATTTAATAAACGAAGGAATCACAGTTCCGCTATCAAACAGGTTAAGCATCAATAAATAAATCAGCAATTAGAAAAACCAGAAGATACGCATCTAAGTATGTCTGGTGAAACGAAACAATCCTGAACATCAAAAGAATATAAGAAAAAAAAAAAGTGGCCAAAGAATATTAAAAGCATTAAACAAAAACAAATTTTGTTCCTGACAATGACGAGGTGAGAAGAAAAAGGATAAACGAATGGTGGAACGAAATTGACCACCATAAAACAATAGCTAGAAAAGGCAACGATCTATAACAAATCGATAAATACTGGAATTGAATCAAGATTGCTCAAACAATGGTCCAAGACTATTAATCAATAGAATACGATCATCCAAAGAAACAAAACAACAGGAAAAGAAAAAAAGAAAAAAAAAACGAAACCCCGTATGAAGAATTCATTTATTCAATTTTCCACAACCCATGAAACAGCAGAAACACACAATAATAGAAAAAAAAAAAAAAAAAAAAAAACCTGCATGGGGTGGAACAACACGAGCTGAAACTGACGGTAAGCTTACTCAGATTTGGAAGGATTAAAGTGTTAATTATTATTATTATGCAATGCAGATCACAGTGATGAAATTGCTGCAGAGATAAAGACGAGGGACAAACCAGTTTTGTGATTCAGGAGTTGTCCACGTCTAAGAATGACATGAGAGAGAGTGAGAGAGACAGGATCTTAGGTTGAATTGAAACACATAAAATTGAATAAGCAAAAGGAGTTTCTTTTATTGTGACTTGTGACTTGTAATACTCGAAAGCTGTACGTTCATTTGTCACTGTTTCAATCTACGTGTCAGACAGAGCGGTTCCATTTCTTTTTGGAGCTATGTGTATGATCAATTTACAATAATCATATCCTTAATTCTGCTAAAATTGTAATCTTTTTAGTTCTACCAATAGATTCTCATGATTAATGCTTCCAAACCTATGTAGCATCAAGTTTCTAAATAAAAATAAAAATTATCTATAAATTAAAATTAATTTATGATTTTTTTTTTTACTAAGTATTCATCATGATGGTGATTTTATTCATGAAAGTTATTAATATTGTCCGTATTAATTGTGGGGCATGTATGATGATGATTGTTAAAAATAAATGGTGATTGAGTTTGTTAAAAATATTCCCCATAAATTAATTTTTCAAAACTTGCTAAGACGTAGATATATTAACAATAGGGAGATATAGCCTTACGACGATTCCATTAATGATAATTTGGAAATCCAATTAAAAGTAGGGTTCTCAAATGGAAAATTCGCTCCTTTATCTATCAAATCAGTCTCATCTATATATTTTAAGATCGACCACTCAGCTTAACCTAAGTTTATGAGTCAAATAATAATAAAAAAAATTATGATTTTTTTATCAATATTTTAAAACGAATTATAATTTTTAATTTAATTTGACTTTATATTAAATTAATGAATTAATAAATAAATTTGATTTGATTAAAAAAATAAATTATTAACATATTTATATCAAAATAATCAATTAAACAATATTTTAAAAAATATAATTTTAAAAATTAAAATATATTAATAAAATTAATTTTTATTTAAGATATTATAATTTAATAGATAAATTATAAGATAATAAATAAAAATAAGAATTAAAAATTTATTTTTCATTATCATTAGTCTTATTTTAATCGTTATCGATTTTTTTAACCCATATTGTGGTCTCTTATACTTGTCAGGATTAAGTTTTCGATTTTCTCACCCCAACATGTTCCCATTTTATATTATTTCTAAACATTAATTATATTTGTAATAAATTCATTTTAATAGTTTTTTAATATATTTTTTATAAAAAATAAATATTTATAATTTTAATTATTATTAATAATTAAGTATATACTTTAATTTATTATATTTATATTAAAATATGTATATAAAAAAAATTTAATCATTTTTTCTTTACATGCATATAAAATACTTATAACAACACTATTATTATTATTATTATTATTATTATTATTATTATTATTATATACACTGTATTTAAATATTTAATTACATATATAAGTTAATTATTTTTTAAGTTATCATTTTAAAATATTTATAAATATGAAATATATAGTTTACAAATAAGTTAATTCTTATTTAATTAGTTCAAAGTAATAAAAATTTTAATTATTTTTTTTATTCTTTCAAATATAATTATTTTATTAAAAAAGTTTGATATATAATAAATAAAAATAATAAAATCTAAAAAATATAACATAATAAAACTTAATAAAGATAAATTATAAATAGATTAATAGTAGTTATTACTTAGATTAATGTAGAATATTTAGAAAAAGATAAAGAAGAAGGAAAAATAATTTTGCGTTTTTAAATTCATTGAAAAGATTGGAAAAATTAAATTGATTAAAGAGATTAAGAAAATTGTGAAGAAGTCAAAGATAAGAAGAAGAAAATAATATATAGAAAAAAAGGATAAAATATAAAAAAAATGACGCTGCATATGATGTGAGAAAAAAATGAAATATTTTAAAAATATTAAAAAAATTTAAGATTTAAATTTAAATATAAATGTGGGACAAAGACAGGGTAGGACGAGGGTGGAGATTACATTATTCATCCATGTTCTCTCCCCTAACTTTTTAAAGTAAGAAAAATTCGAACTCGTCTCATCCCTTACCCCTGATCAACTCAATTTTTCCTCGTCAAATTCGGGATGGGGACAATTAGTCCCCATAGGTATAAGCTTAATTGTCATCCCTATCCATATAGGTCATGACTTAAACGGGCCAGACCAAAATAAGTTTGATTTAATTTAGGTCACAATTTCTTTTAATCTAGTCCAACTTATTTTTCAGCTTTTGAGTCGATCTATCGGGCTAAGTCTATTTTGATACCCATAATTAAAAAATTAAGTTTGAAAAATAATAGAAATGGGATAAAGTAATAACAAATGTCTCACATAAGATTTTCTTAACATGAGACTTCTCTTCTCACACTTGAAGATTTTAATTAAATTAATCAAATTTTTATCTCACATTATTATTGTCTTTCATGTTGTTATTTTTCCTAGTAGGCCTTAAGAGAATTAACCCATATAAACTTGTCACCACTGGCTGATTGTCATAACATCTGTTAGGTTCTTTTTGTTTTGTCTTAGCATGCAAAAGGTAGGATTTCTTACAATGTGCAAAATACTTTTACTATCATAATACACAATAATAATTTGTTGCATGTACTTAGCTTTTTAATTTAAATAAACTCTTCACATGTTGTGTGGTTGCAATGTATTTAGCTTCTGTATTAGACAGAAGTACAACATCTTGTAACTTGAATAACCAACTTACTGTCTTTCCAATAAGAGTAAACATGTCAAGATCACCTGTAAATCCTTAGCAAACATAGTTTCTAACAATTAGTTCTGATCCTTCAAAATATAATGCAACATCTAAGGTTTCTTTAATAACACTCATGCTCTCCACAACAATTTGTCATGAATCTACTAACCGCTCCCATTACTTATTCAATTTCTGGTCTTATACCGATCATGGTATCCATAATATTTTCCACCACTCTTACATATAGTACTCAAGATACTTGAGAATAATTTACTTGATAGAAAGTGGGATAAAAACTAGCTAACACCTTGCATGTTAAAGCTCTGTAAGATCTTTAGTAAATAATTCCTCTAATAAAGTCAAACTTTCCTATCTTTTATGTCTAAGTGAATTTGCATCCCTAAAATCTTGTTTGCTAATTCATATTCCTTCATGTCATCCACAAACAAAAACAAAATGATAAAATCATTCTCTCAAATATATTATAATAGGTATAATAGTCTAAACTCAGTCTGTTGTAATTAAGGTTAATGAAGAATCAAATCTCTTGTACCAACACTTAGGCACTAGCTTTAGACTGTATGGAGATTTGGTTAATCTACAAACCAAGTTTCTTTTTTCTTAGTCCTCTGGTTGGAGAAAATAAATCATCTCTCTAAGTTCACCTTGAAGACAAATAATATTTTTCATCTCTATTAATAATAACCTTGTGGGTAGTGGAATCCCACAAGAAATACCTTTTTTCCAAGAATCTACCTTTCTTGGATTTTGGATCCATTTTTTTTTTAACTTTGAAAACACAAACTTTCTCTTAATATGGTACACCCATAATTTTTGAAGTAATTATCATCATTGATACAAAATATCTTTCCTGATGGAGGACCACGGACACATATTGGGTTCCTTACCAAGGCCATGTGTCCCTTACCAAGGCCATGGCAAAGAGGAACGAAGAAAAGCAAGTTAACATAAGAACAATCCTTATTTGGAGTCTATTTTAAAGCACTTCATCCTCTAGACCATGTATATAACTTGTAAAAATTGTCCATTATTTCTTTGTAGGAAAACATTTTAGCCAAGCCAAGGCTACATTCCAAGCCATAAAGACCACACAAGGACGAGCCAAGGCTATGGTCCAGCCATAAGGCTACACAAGGACACAAGCCACCGCCCAAAGAGGAACCACACGATCACTCCTTCCACTTGGCTGCACATTAAGGAAGTTCATGGGAATATAAAGGCTTGAGGACTACCTCATCTTGGCATTATGGAACTTGAAGATAATGGAGCAATAAAGATAGGCACAAAGGAGAGCATAAGGCTGAGCCAAAAAGAGGACCAAAGTTGGTCACAATCC